CCCCCTCCCCCTCCCCCTCCATCGCCATCCTCCTCTCCGGGCACGTGTCTGTGGTCTCCTTCTTGACTTGGAATTCCCGTGTGCGTGTGCTGCCAGGCCCAACACAGCCACCACCCTACAGGGCAGGGCAGAGCTGCCCTGGGGGTCTCCTTGGCTGCAGTCCTCACGGGAGCAGCTGAGCAGGGGTCTTTGTCCCACAGAGCCAGTCTCGGGTCTGAACCGCCGACCTTCTCCTCCGTAGCTAGCGCTGGGCCACTGGACTGAGGGCTCCTGTGGGTCCCCTGGGGAGTGAAAGCAAGCCACATGCCCGGCCAGTAGCAGAGGGTTGGAGGCTTGCCTTTACCCAGAGTGCCTAGCCAGACCGGCCTGGAGCTCAACGTCCGAGAAATCCCCAGCAATGCCGTGGAAGAGAGCCGCGGCCTGCCCAGCCCAGGCAGCCCCGAGTCGGGATCGGCTCGAAGGACAGCCAGTTGATCCTGATGAAGATTACGCTCCGTGGGCTGTTTTCCGCCAAAGCTCCTTGTCTTTCTCATCGCTGGCGTCCCGCCTTTCTGCGAGAGCAGAGGACAGTCCCTGGTGGACGGTGTCGGGTCCCAGGGGCACGCGTTGTCCTCCCGCTTCCTGCTCTGCCTGCTTGCCTCCGGTTCTCCAGCTCTGAGAAGACAGCCATGTCCATTCTGCTAGCCGATGAGTGCCGAGCACTTCTCAGGGGCCATCTGCCAGCGATCAAGATGCTCAAGCTTGCGGGGGTGGGGGTCTACAGGAAGTGGGGGGAGCTGAAAGTAAGCAGGAAAACTCCAGAGTGAGGAGTCCCGTGAGAATGAGGGAAAACCGCTTCGAGTAAGATCACCAAAGCACGTCACATAGCAACATGTTGTCCCAATGGCATAATGTCACATCGCAACATAATATAGCACAACAGCTTAGTAGGCATAGTTTTATAGCATAATGATAATATGTTATCGTTTTAGGCACAGTTAATAGGCATGGTTTTATAACATAATGAAACATCATAGATAATTAATGTTGCATAGCAACAGCGTAATGTAACAGCATCACACACCATAACATAAAACACAGCAAAACACAATTTTATGTAACTCAAAGCTCACTGCCATCGAGTCGGTTCAACTCATAAAGACCCTACAGGACAAGCAGCACTGCCCCCGTGGGTTTCTGAGACTACAC